CTTCGGTAGAATATTGTGCATCTGACCGATTTTTTTGTAAATTGGGAGCACTTTGAATCAAAGTGCTCCCAATTTACAAAAAGTCTTTGATCACTATAATTTGATGATGAGGAACAAAACAACCATCACTATTATCAAGTGCTGTCTGTACTGGTGTACCTTTGTTACAATAAGTTTTATTTTAAGTGGACTGGCGCTGCCATCTAGTGTTTAGAGGGTGAAACTTTAATTTGTAATATCGTGCGCTCGGAAATGGAATGAAAACATACAGTGTAACGATGTCAAAACATTATGATACATAAAAATGGCTATTAGATGGTAATAAAATAACTACAGCTTACATTATAATAGCATCAAAATATTATGATAGGACTATAATATCTGCGTTAAAGAAGAACCCCAGGGAAATATATATATTTTTTTATTAACCCTTCCAGTGGGGCTTCCCCTGCACTGCAAGGGTTAACTGCTCGTTTTTGTCTAGGTGCGGGGAAAAAAAAGTTAAACTCATCAGACCATCTAAGCCGGCTCCTTGCTTCTGTGATCACTGCTTCACCTGCTTCGTCTCTCCTCTTCGCTGCACAGATGGACTGCTCCTTGGCGTCTTCACGTCTATACACAATGTATACAGCATGAGGACACCAGGATCCTTAGACCGCTGTAGCAGAGGGGGAGAGACGTTCTAGACAACGGTCCAAGAACAAGCCACCACAGCTCGGATGGTCTGGTGAGTGTATATATATTTTTTTCAGCACCTTGACACAAGCAAGCACCTAATCCTTGCAGTGCTGCGGTAGCCCCACTGCAAGGGTTAATACAATGTTTTACCTGGAGTTCTTCTTTAAGGTTTGTATGTGTAAACATCTGAGAGTAAAAAAGCCAAAGAAAGTCAAAAGCAGAGAGGATGGAGAGTTTAGTTATTGTGAACATTGTGGGGTCCATTTATAAACAATTCACAGGCCCCTTCGCCCTGCGAATATCTGTGAGTGTTCATTTTGGGCAAATAATGACAAAAACACATGTTCTTAAAAAGGAGAACTATGGGGTTAAGGCTTTTCCCCATAGTTCTCTTTAGGGTAACGGGAGGACACAAACTAGCGTCCTCCCGTCACCCTAGGCTCAGTATACCGCGAGCTGCAGCTCGCGGTATACTGAGGCGCCGCAGTATACCGCAAGCTGCTGCTCGCGGTATACTGAGACGCCGCATCTGAAGCGGATCCCGACAATTATGCCTGGATCCGCCCAGCTGCGCTACTGACAGCTGGCTCTGCCTATCTAGAGGCAGAGCCAGCTGTACCCGCCCCCTCCCCCGTCCGTTCCGCCAGTCAGCGCTAGTGGATCGGAGTGGGGAATCCAGCCCCTCCCCTGTCACGGCAGAGAGCCGTGACAGGATCGAGAGGTGAACGAACGCCTGTATGTGTTCACTCACCTCCCGATCTAGTAAGCCGACCTGTGACAGTCTCATTGTCGGCTAGAACTATGAGGTGAGTGGAAATCACTCACCTCATAGTTCTCCTTTAATACCTTATTTTCCCCTGTTCAAATGTTTCGTCATGTAACAGTAATACTATACTTTGGCCATGAAATGAAGCTTAGGAGTATAGGAAGTACTATTTCTGATGCTCCCCAGCTCCATCTAGTGGCTATATTGTAATATTACATGACAATACATACAAACTGGAAAAAATATATTAAAAACATTTGTTTTTGCCAATATGTGCCCAAAATTTACATTCACAGATATTCGCAGGGCAAAGAGTCCTGCAAATTGTTTATATATAGACAACCGCGAGTTACTCTGTATTAGAGCCTCTGACAGGTTTATATTGCTAATAATGAAGAGAAAACCAGCACAACAAGAAGTAGATTCTGAAGCAAGATTTACTGAAGTCCCATGATTTATCATGGAAACCAGTGGTGGCTGGAAGAGAATTCACATACATGTATTTCAACTGTGTATGTAACTGCCTGGAGTTCAGCTTTAAATGAGCAAACGATCAGCCTTAAACTACAAACCTCAGAACAATGATTTAACATATTGCAGCACATCAGTCCTTAGATATTGTGACTGCATTATTTTTTTCTGTATTCTCCCTTTATTTTTTCCTGGTAATTCTGCCAGTAACATACTTTCTGTCCCAGGGTGATAACGCTCACTTACTGTACTGTATCTATGGAGGAAGAGCGCTGTCCCCCCTAAGACGGTGTCCTAGGACTACAGATCACATCTCCCCATTCTGGTTTCTATAACGTAGGGGTCAGGTGTTCTGTAGTCCACAGAAAGAACTGGGCAGAGCTTATAAGATTGTCTGAGATTTCATTGCAGCAGAAATTATGTCAGATCACTACAGGAATTTAGGAACTGGATGGATTTTTGGCAGGATCACCGGGCACTTTCTATACTTGCAGAGCAATGTATATGTATTGCAGAGATGTACTGAATGTATGGTGTGTTTTTGTTTTGTTTTAATTTTGCCCTGACGTACACTTTAAGCCTTTACGATAGGCTAAATAAAACAGGAACGCTTGACCAAATTTTGGTAGCTTTTGAACACTTATCGCACGTACACATAGCCCCTTTACAAAGTGAACCACATAATAGGGAAGCCTATCTCACCTCAACCTCTCCCATCTCCCTTCCTCTGGTGCTATATAAATCCTGTATAATAATAACCTAACCATTGAACCATCACATTCTCTAACAATTCATCCCCTCACAGCTACCTCCTCATGTATCACTTCCCCATCCTCTTTTAGATTGTAAGCCCTCAGGGGCCGGGCCCTCCTTACCATCTTGTCTTGAATTGTATTGTGATTGTAATGTCTTCCTTATATTGTTGCTGCGCAAACTGTTGGCGCTATAGAAATCCTGTATAATAATAATAATAACAACCACCTCCGATGAAGTATGCAGCTATTTTTTATTGAGATTTTTCCATTTTATGTTTTATAAAAAATATTATACCAAAACAGAGAAGCAAAAAAAACAAACAAGGAACAACAATGAAACCCCTTTACAGCGCCACATATAAGATGTATGGTCCATTGTATTAAAGTAGTAAAATTGCAGAAACTTTTAATTTACCGATCGTTGACATGAAAACTGAAAAAGGTGAGGAATAAAGGCTGATCTATGTAATAAAGCAGTGCCGAGGGCAACGATGTGTAGAAATAGTAAACAATTTGATTGCGATAAGGATGAACGGATCACAAAGTGGGCTTCCCAACCCCTCCATAAATACGATCAGATAATCCAATGTGCGCGCTGCTGCAGGAAGTTCCCCCCTTGCACTGCACATACAGTTCCCATAAAGCCAACTAGAAACAACGGTCATCGACCTTTGGGTAGCATCATGTCCTTATAACATGGCTAATGATGAACTTCCAACACTGTTGGGACTTAATAAGCAACTTTTGATTTTGGTTGCTGTGGCTTCCTGCACTTCACATGTTGCCTCAATAAATAAGATTCAGATTTTCTAGCTGTAATAGATCATAAATTCCAAGATTCTCAGCAGGCCACTGGCCAGCCACTGGCTTGCAGAGTGTCGTGGGATTTTGTCTGAAACTAGGCAACTGCATCTCCTTTACCAGATGGGTCCGAGAGGTTAATACGCTGATATTCTGACACTGAGCTTGTAAAAAAAAAAAAGGCATCTGTTATAGAAAGATAGCAGGACCTGTTATCCTCATAGGGGCTTTGTAATAAGGGAAAATGGCAAATATAACTAATAAATACTATTTACAACAGCAGGAGGGACATTTAGGTGGCTGCTTGGAGAGGAAGGGGATGTTAAGGACATGACTGTTTAAACCAAATAATATGAATTGTGCATGGCCTAGGTGACCGAAGATGGATATTAACCACTAGTGGGCTGAATACCAGAGATCTTGGCTCCATCTCTCTGCACAATAGGCTTTTTGCAAAAGAGTCTTGGTGCTCCTTCTGCTTCTTTGTACGGTCTATAAAAGTAGAAATGTGCACGAATAGTGAGCCACCCTTATAATGGCCCTTACTGGGAACTCGCAGAGAGATTTCACAAGCAGAGTTCCTACGAAAATAAGTGACTCAACCCAGTGAAATACCAATTCTGTTTTCACTGACCCTTTAGGGACCATATTATTATAACTGTATTAAGAGCAGGGCTATCTATGCCTACAGGGGGTACAGATGGCAATGGCAATTATAACAATAACCAGGGATGTTTATAAGGATCTGGATATAAGGCATTGAGAAACAAGACTCAGTGGATGTGGGATTGGGGACAGATTGGAGCTATGGCTATGGAACTACTAATCCAGATATAAAATTTTATTGTCTGCTGGGACATGTAGTTCCAGGGCAGCTGGAAAGGCACTGCTTCCATACAACTAGATTATTACGGTCTATAAACCCTGGATTTAAACATATTTTCCTGCTTTGGGCTATACAGTAAAAGGACAAATCTAGTCACATAGAATCACCATTAACGTGCATTATTAGCTATTGTGCACTTGCTGCTTCTCTTTTTGAACTGTGAGCAGCAGAAGCAGGGTCCTGCTGTGCTCTATTGAAAACTTTCACTGAATGTTTCTGCTGGTTAAAAGGGAGACATATTCACCGCTAGCTGGGATTGCATTATTTATAAAGGCTTTTATGTTGTCTGGAACATTGTCTGAGACAGGTTATAGTTCCTGCTGTGGGCCCTTAATTTCTGAATATTATTTTTTTACCT